AAAGGGATTTTGCCATCTTTTCCTGTAGACATGCTTGTCAATTGTTAATTTTATTTTGTTTCGTTTTAGGCTATAACCTTATTTAAACGAAAGTGGTACAGAATTATGATTTCAACATTTCCGCTGTCAAACCTTTTAGATCCCCATTGCTGCAAACACCAAAAGAATCGACTAGTTCTAGGACTTTTAGTTACTAACCCCGTGTTGTCGTGAGCAGAAAACAAAGGGGGTGGAACGAATGCAAATTTTAGTCGTCCCGCATCGCTCGATCGGAAATGCAAAAGAGGAAATTAATTGACAGAGACACACAGACGACATTCCTGCATTTAATTAAGAACTTATTAGTGTTCTCGCTGGCTAATTGGATCTGAAGAGTGGTCGCGAGCTCCCTAATCAAGCAAGAAGTCGAGTTTCGCAATTTCTCCGGTACAAATAGTTGACACGCTGTCTTGTAGCGTTCTATATAGCTAGCGAGCGATTTAGTGGAAGAATATAGTCGAACATATTTATGCAAAAAGAAATTCTAAGTGAATGTCTGCAAAAAAAGATGCTTATTTCTAACACCCTAAAAAGCACGAGATACAGAGACACACACGACTAAATGAGACATAATATTTCCCAAATTTTTCATTGTTTCAGTAAAAGTAATTTTGGGGTAGGTGATGTTAAATTTTAGTTGAATTCATTAGTGGATAGATATTTAATTTTGTGTGTTAGCAAATAACACATAACCTGAGAAAGCCTTCGTAATTATAGCAACAAAAGACTGCTAAATTTTATTATAGTATACCGGGTGACAAGAAAGTGAAATTTGGAAGGGTTAATATAGGCTGAATGTCCAATTTTTTGAGCTTGTCGGGAGTTTCTTCTGCATTTTTAATCTTTCCGACTTGACAATTAATAATGAATAGAAGCAAAGCCACCTAAGTAATATTTTGTTTTTATAAAAAATGATTTACTTATTTGGCTTTTTCCTTCCTGTGAGCTTATTTTTTAACGGATTTTGAAAATTTTGGTGTCAAAATGTTACAAAAAAAGTACCGGTTTCAAAAAGTTTTTGTTCTCGCTAGGGTGCTATTCGAAAAAATAGGTTAGCCTAAAAAAATAATAGTTCATATTATTTAATGCTATTTGCCATTAGACAAAAAAAAGAAAAGCTTCATTTACAAATTTCCCATGATCAGGTGACCCGGTAAATAGAATTCATGATGGTCACAGCCTCCTAGACACAATTTTCAAAAATTAAATACAAATTTTAAAAATAAAAAAAAAGAAGAGAAAAACCGTCCTATCCTACGTAGAATGACCTCCTGAATAAAAAATCCAAACAAATATAGGCTGTGCCATTTTAAATTCGAAAATTACTGTCGTTTCCGCTCAAATCGGAAGTGGAAAAAAATGGACATTCTGCCTAAATGAACCCTGTCACATTTCAAATCGCTATTTCAAGCCGTTTAAAAGTTATAGAGTGTTCCCACTTCCTTGTGTCATGTGTCATATTACTATTTATATTAAAATGTTCGTGGATACTTCCAAAAGTTTAAAAATTGAAAATTGGAATCGACTGCTCAACATCAGTAGAATCTACTGGTCAAATGCAACAGGAGATAATCTATAATAAATAACAAGTGCCTGACGGTGATCCATTGAAAAAAAATAGACTTCTTGCCGAGAATGACGGTTAACAACTGGATTTGGCTAAAAGACCATTGTTTGCTATAGGGCCTTCGCCCATTTTAAAATTGGGCAAAACGGATCTTATAATCGGGTTGCTTTCATTTTACGATTTCACTTTGTGTTACGTTTATTTTTCTGTTGTTTTCACGCCCAGACGACAAACCGTTAAAGTTTTATTGGTTGGGTTATAAAAATCGACATAAAAATGGAAATCCGTATTAATAAATAATCTACGTCACATCGCGTATATTCTCGGCACTTCTGACAAAAACATGGTACTAAAAATATTTTATAACAATCGATGTCGCAAAATGTAAAACATATTAATGAGTATGAAATACGGTCATTTATAGTTAAGACTTCGACAATAAGAAGACCGACCGTTGTAAGCATCGGTGGTTCAGTGGTAGAATGCTCGCCTGCCACGCGGGCGGCCCGGGTTCGATTCCCGGCCGATGCAATTTTTTTTTTCGACACAAAAGCCCCATTAAATATACCACCAATATCAAAATATATCTCCCGCATGATAGTCGGGAGAAAACTGAATCACGCAACACAATGGATGTTTTATCTATACTTTCCATACCGTCTATTTATAAACTGGGAGGGTGCTAAATATCTAAATAGCATCTCGGAGACATCTTGTGGGGATGACTGAAGAATGTAGAGAAAATCGCCCAACTTTCATACAAACTCTTTGTATTAAGTTGCAAGCCGTTATGACGAAACAAAAGCAGGTTTTTTAATACAAAGAGATTTCGGGTGGGCTGAAAATATTGAATTCCTATTTTTTCTATAATTACCTTATCAATATAAGAAAGCAAACAAAAATATTAAAAGGAAAAGAATAATATCAGAATTTAACAAATTAAAAATAACAGATAATCGAAACAAAATATATACTAGTTCCCATTAAACCTAATCGTTTATTGTTCCGACCTGTTCTGCTATTGTTATCTCTTTTTAACTGTGTACGTTAGACAGTATTATAGGATATGTCATACAAACAACGGAATAAACACAATTTTAAAATGTTATGTTGTATATTTAACTTTTTCAATTGATCATTAAGTAGTTTATTTAAAGAAAAAGACTGAAATTGGAAGAAAAATCATCCAAGGATAGAGATTTTAAGAGAATTACATTTTTAAGATCGTATAAAAAAAGCAGGGCCTAAGCTTCAATTTTGTTTTGTTTCTTCTGATTATACATGGATATTCGGCTCGGATCCGTGGGAAATGGAACTAACGTGTTAAAGTGACGCTTCCCGCAGGCTAGATCGGTGTGTAATTAGGCATTTTACAGACGGGAGTAGAAAAAATAAATAAAAAGGGTCCTAGCTAGATCTCTTAAAAAAATTAGACCCTCAAGTGCTTATAATAATGCTAAAAGTGGAAAGTAGGAATACTTCTACACGGTGTTAAAAAAGTACACTGTCATTTAAGACTCGAAAGTCATTAATAACATACAGTGCCAGAGTGCCAAAATAAATCGACTTTTTTCATACACATGTTAAATCTTCCGTTTAATTTCTTTAAAGCTCGCAGTGATGATGATGGGGCTCATTAATTTAAATTAATAATCCCCGAAAAGCACTCTAACAACTCTCAAGAGTTTACTATATATCCTTTTCATTCCATTTCATTTAAAAAAAAATCCTAAAATTGTGGTTTTTTGCTGCTAGGTTTTTATTTATTATTTCAAAAACCATACAGGGTGCTAATAAAACTCAAAAAACGAAAAATTTATATTTTTTCCTGTTCAATAATAGGTATGCAAAAAAACAGTAGCGAACATTATTTCGGTATTCTTTTTCAAGTTGAAAACTATATTAATTTTCAGATGTATGTTTATACAGACATTTTCGTCCACAAATCACTCAAAGAATCACTTCCCAAAATTTCACCTTGGGGCCTTTTCCAGATTTTGCATTTTTTTCTATAAGGCAACTGAAAAACTTTTTTTAAATCTTTTTCATAAACCATACTTAAGTGAGTTTTTATAAAAGTCTTATGTTTTTTTTCTATTTACCTGCTTAATACGAAAAAAAAAGGAAAGTGAAGTGGGGCATATTTTTAGTTAAAAAATATTTTTTAACTTGGACACCCCGTACCTAAGAAAAGTCCCTCAAAGAAGCAAATTGGTCGCGTAGTTAAGTAACCAATGGTTGCGTTTAAATGCAAATTATATCCGCACCATCAAATTGCCTCGGTGATTAATTTAAAAAGCTATAAAATTGAAACGTCAAGGGGGGCCCAAGTGATATTTCGGCGAGTCCGCACGAAATTAGCCCGGCAATTTCAATTTAATCGCTCTCAATTGGTCTGGCGTTTTAATCGTTACAAGTTAAGAGAGACCGGAGGTGGTCAAATTAGGTTAGATAATTTGGCGACGAAATTCTTGATAAGCTTTTACGAGGGGGCGAAGATTATATCAAAACGAGAATCTTAAATACTCTACAAATACTCTATTTTCTTATATACCATCAGTATTTTCTTACATGACGAATGTGGTGAAAAGTTTGCCTTTTCTCGATTGTTATCAAAACTTATTTGCAACAAGCATGCCGAATTTCTTCTTTTTTCTTTTAAAGTTCAAGGTACCTTGAGGGTGTTTTGTAAGGGTCCCAAAAGACAAAATAGAGGGTTTAGGTCTGGCGATCCATTCGCCTCTATAATTTCTTGAATCTATCTAGTTCGATATACTGAAGTACCTTGATGCTGATCCCAATCAAGAATCAAGTCTACAAAACATCTTCAAAACACCTTGAACATTTAAAAGGGCAAATTTGTTAGAAATAAGTTAACATAGCAAAAATGAAAATTCAATTTTTTTCGGAATCACAGACGATAAACCAATACAGATAAACAAAAACTTTTTTTGGTGGTTTTGGTTTGGGAAAACATGTTCTACCTGATTACCAGAAAAAAAATGGTATGGTAATAATAATAAAAAAAACAAGGTAATTATATAAAGGAAAATACATCTGAATCAAAGCCTTTTGATCCACATCAACCAAATTTGCATGTTTTTTTTTTTATTCATATGGGCAGAGGGCGCCAAGTTTGGATAACCTGGCAACAAAAACAAAAATGTAAGAATTTTCGTGTTTTCTTGGGTTAAAGTTAAAACGCATTTACTTTGCATAGCACTTAAAACTTCGAATTAAGTTTGGTGTTAACTTTATTCCGAATTTGTTAGCAGAGTCGTAAACTGCAAACTTTCGCAAGCGAATTCATATACGTTCAAATTCGGAGAATAAATAAATATAAATATCACCACACCCGGTTTAAAACCAATGCCATCCATGATTAAAATCTTACCTGGGCGACGTTTTCAAAATGCTCGTGGCTCTTCTGATAAACCCTCGCTTTTTGCAAATTCCGTCCTATTCCAGTGTTCTTCCTGATAAAGACCTCTCCGTGGTTCGATAACCAATCCAAAACCTAAAACAATTCAGTGTGTTTTTCAGAAAATTAACAAAAACTTACTTAACAAAAATACCTTTACCAAGAGAAAAAGCGCACAATGTGTTTATATAATAATAGAAATATTTAATAAAAAATTAATTAAAAAAAAGAAAAATATCTATCGAAAAAACAGACTTATTCGATTAGATTGGTCACTTGATTGGCCCAGCGAAGTTGAAATTTTGTTGATGATAGATCTTCTTTTGCGAAAGCTTGTGTGTTTTATTAAGAATTGAATCCAGTGGTGTGGCCAGATTAGCATTTAACGCTTAATTTATCAAACGGCAATGCGCCGATAGACGAACAATATAGAACAGCATAAAAATTTCAAGTTAGTAAAGGAATTAAAGTATAGAACTACTAATAAAACAAAATAAATAAACCAAAGTAACAATAATTACACAGGTCTGCAGTGATTTTGATGAAATATTTTTTGGGGTCCTTTTCCCAAAAACGCCATATTTTTGCTCTATCACGTCATTTTCTTTACAGCGTTATACATCTTAAAAATGTTATTTTATTAATATACACATCTATGTCATGAATGTTTTTCCATGATTTGAATTATATTTAATCAAGCATAGTTTTTTTTACCTAAATCCTAAATTATGTATAATCGCATGCCTAGTGAGTTAATGTTTCTATCCTCGTTTTATTTTTATTTTTGCTTATACGTATGAGTAGATATCATAGTACTATAAATGTAACAAGCAGATTCTTTGCCTCGTTGTTATTATTGTAATTATTATCCAATCCAAATAACTTTGGTTATACCTGTTGTAGTTGTAGTAAAGCAACGGCAAACTATCACTACTTTTGTGAAAAATGTATACCATGCGACCAACACAAGTCCTGGGCTCCTCATACTATTTGTTCCCTTTGCATTGAAGCATTAAGAAACTGGCAAAGAAGCGTTTAAGCTTTGTTGTTCCTATGGTATGGCGAGAGCCTATTAATCACAGCGATGATTGTTGATGATTGTCCTATTCGACCAGTGCCTTATGGACCAGATGAATTAGACGAATCTAATTCCGACGCAGATAACTCAGATTTCACACCAAGTTTCAGAGAGCCCGAAGTGTTTAAGTAGAGCTAATTAAGTGATTTAACAAGAGTTATGTCAATATTTTAATCAGGAAGGACCGCTAGTATATTGCAACAAAATTCATGACTTAGTTTCAAAATTGGGAAATGTGCCGTATATAAAAGAAAAATGGCGCCTGTTTATTGACTCAAGTAAACATAGTTTAAAAGGCGATTTTATTGCACAATGTTAACGAACTGGCATCGGTTCCCGTTGCACATTCGGTACATTTAAAAGAAACGTATGAAAATGTAGGATTTCTTTTGAAGAAAATAAACTACCAAGAACATTAGTGGACACGCTTTGCGGCGATCTTAAAGTATTGTATGTATGCTCCTAGGACAATAGGGGGGTTATACAAATCTTCTATGCTTTATTTGTCAGTGGCATAAGATGCAAGAGATAGATACATCTGGTAGCCTCCTCCTCACATCAAACTTGGCTTGTTGAAGCAGTTTGTTTAAACCCTAGAAAAACGCGTGGGTGTCATTTAAACAAGTAATCGATAATTTACTTGGGAACTCTAAGGAAGAAAATTACGAAAGTAATGTTAAAAATATGATTTTCATTATCTAGGTTGTAATGCGAGTTTGAAAGTGCAATTCCTGTTTTCTCACTTCAACTATTTTGCTGAAAATCTTGGAGCAGTTTGCGAAGAGCAGGGAGAGAGGTTTCACCAGGACTACTGCTGGAACTTAAAACGGGACATGACTTTAAAAACACACAGTCCGCACAACGCAGCTTTCTAGCAAAAAGATGAATATTTCACTCAAAAAAGTCCGAGTAAGGTTTTTTTCAGTTTTTTAACTAGGATTCCACTTTTTTACTGAATAAAAATATAAATCATTTCAGAAATATCGTTTTTTTTTCCTTTAATATTTGCAAAAAAACTTTACGTTATTATTTTATGTATGTATGTATTTTATGCATAGAATTTTTGAGTCAGCCCAAAAAAAATAATATAAAATCAGTTTTCAAAATAAAAACATCCGTCAAAAAGTTTAATTTTGTAGACCTGTGTTATTATTCAATATTTTTAATTTCATGCAAAAAAAATGCTTTGGTTAATTGAAAAATGCAGGGTTTTCCTTTGCTACTGTTGGCTCAATTTTCCAATTTAAATGGTAACGTTGTTGTTGATAATTAATTATTTATGAAATTCTGTATGTTTTCGTCGCAGTGGAGGCCAAATTTGGAAAAAAAATCTAATAAACTTGAATATTTTACTTCTTTTTTTAAATCAACAAAAATACCTGCTTAACATCTTCCTGGAACAACCTCAGGGCCAGCCTCTGGTGGAGCTTGATTTTCTTCGCGTGCCATTTTTGCTCCAACGCTCTGTGGTGATTCAAAATTTGATGGATCACGGCGAGCACGTGGCTGGCGCCTTCGCTGTAATCCGCCGCTGGATTCCCGCCAGGTCTATTTTCGAAATTCGTACCGTCGCCCTATCGAAATCAAAAAGCGTTACCACCCTTAAATCCGAATTGCCGTCGCGCGCATGCTCAAAGTGAGAAAAACTACGACATGCATTAAAATAAAAGAGATATTTACATGGTTTTTATCAGTCCCCGGTTGATTACAGACTTGCACCAAATGGTCCAACTGATACAGTAGTTTCTTACTCGTGCTATGCACCTGTCACCGACAACAAGAGAAAAAACGTCCGTCACCATTAGGATATAAAAGAAAATTAGCCTAAACTAAAATGAAACTATTTGCTAGGTAAGTGGTTGCGACGCAATTTCGAGATAGTTCATCACCTTATAATTCATACTCTTGAAATAGCAGGTTTAGTGACCAAAACTGGGTGAAAATTTAAAAATATAGGAGAGTTTTTGATGCAATGCAGAATCAGTATCGAACTCAACTGTCATACCATAGTATAGTTTCGTTCTTGCTACCGCGGTTTTATCACTAGATGGCGCGACGTAAACAATTTTTACATATAACTACTAGACCTTTAGAGGCCCTGCCTATTCTGACAGTACAGGAACTCATGAAGCAACTATGTAAATAATTTTTAGAAGGTCTATTCAACGTGCGCACGTGCGACATTCAAAATGTCGTTTTTAGACAAATGACAGCTTTCATGGCAAAATCTGACCTTGGACTCATAAGACCTTGCGGCTTTCAACAAACAAAATGGCCGCTGACAGATCGTCCAGGTTTGGATGCGGCATTTTTAGGGCAGTATTTTCTCAAAATATATCGAAATGCTATTAAATTATAATGCAATAAAGGAGTTAAGGCGTCAGTATGATTCTGTAATTAATTTGGCGTTTTTGTTCTGTAAGCTCTGTAGATATGATGCAATTTCTACATGTATGTTTTCATGTACGCTATTTTTTTCTGTTTTTTTTTTTTTTTTGGTTGTAAATCATTGCAAAGCGTTACTAATGGGTTTAACCTCTAAGTGGAAAAAATGTTCAAGAAGCACCTCCAAGGGTATTTCTTACGCTTGTTTTAATAAAAATTCAACTTGTAGCTTAATTGCTTTCTTAAATTTCATGTAATTCTTGTACACTAAAACATATAACTCAAACATTCTTGGCAGCTATTTAAGTGTACCTAAAAATGTAGGGAATTCTGTTAATAATTTATGTAACTCTGTTTTCCAGTTTGTTGTGTAAGGATCACTGTTTCTCTAAGATCCTATTAGGTCCTCATATTTGCCACATTTGCTATAATCGCGTAAAGGAACAAAGGACACAATGACAATAGTAATTACATATTTCGGCGTTGCCAATTATGTCCGGTTTTCAGGGATTAATTTTGCGCTCTTATAAAAATTAATCAAATTTTCCAGAAAAATTATGGCAATATAGCGACTCCTCCACGAAAAAATCACTTGCGGCGCATCGATATTCACCGTAGTAGCGCAACTATATTATCTAATGGCGAACAAACGAATAACGTTCATTTCTGGAAGGTACCGAATATAAGTTTAGTTGAGAATAGGATAATTTTTTTACGGTTTTAATTTCTTGTGCGTCAGTTGAAGCTAATTTTCGGTGGGTCATCGCCGATTTTCGATTCGATTTGGTCTCGATAAATTCGAATGATTGTAGATTTTAGCTTAATATATACGGTAAGTTCTAGAAATTGCAACAGTCAAACTATATTTACAATATTTTCTGGGTCGAGACTATAATAACCAGAACTTATTTTGGACAAAAACGAACAAGATTCTTTTAAAGAATTTTCTCAGAAATATCAGTTTTATTGTCTGTAATACATGAAATAGATTTATTGATAAATTGTGATCTATTGGCTACAGTCACACCTTCCTCCGTTAAGAGTGACAGACCGTAAAAGTTTTGCAGAGGCACAGTTCAATTATGAATTTTTAAAGATCACTCATATAGTATAGTTAGTGATCAAAAGGTGTTCAAGTTCGCGGGACTGTTTAAGCTAAGGTCTGAAAAAAAATCAGTATCACAAACACACGTATCTTAAATGAAAAAATCACCAAAAAAATGTAAATATTCAATCGGAACTTTTTAAGAATCAATGAATGAATCTAGCAACATTCTACACCATCTCAAAATTGCTCGTCCAAATTACCACTCAAAGTTAAAACTCTAGATATTCGAAGAGCCCAGGATGAGACACCTAAATACTAAAGTACCGGGGAAATAATTAAAACGAATCGATCGTACGTTGACAAAATTGGGATCTTTATCGATATCCACCGCCGATGGTAGATTATGGCACACCTGGAGCATCACGTCGAGGCCGTTCAACAACGCCTGGTACGAATTATACACCTGAACACGAAACATTTGCAATAAAGAGGTGCCGTTTTCGTTTCTTTCTCAAGAATAAATCCGAAGCGTCAAGCGAAAAGTCACTCACAATGACCATATATTACAAAATCAAATCATTTATTGTTAAAATGGCATAGAAAATACAATACCGAAATGTGTGTGAAAAATACAAATGACCTTTTTATCCTAGAATTTATTTACTATCTTACCTATTTGTTGCATATGCATAAATTTTTAAAATTAAAAAAAAAAATAAATCACGGGGATATTTTACACTATTTTATCATAAACCGGCAATCGACATAAAATATTTTCCGATATTTAATTCATTATATAGCTTCACGTAAATACTATTTATTTATTCGATAAATACAAATCTATTATTATGATTATTTTTTACATTTATGTACCACAATTAAAAAGCGTTAAGCGTATTAGCTGGAATCTGCAGATTTTTTCCATTTCCAGTATGAAAGTGTATATTTTGAAACAGAATAATTACTTTGAAATAATTTATCTTAAATCTTGTTTTGAAATATTTGTTTTTAAAAAATTCTTGAACTTTAAAACAAGACCCTCTGCGCAATTCTAAGAATTACGCAAATACGAATGTGGAAAATTACATACCTCTGTGTACGCCTGACACATGGATTCATATAAATTCTGGTGTTGGTGAATCGAGTTCTCCAACATCAAAATTTCCGACGGCAAGTTGAGGTTATCGCTGGCGCTTTTCCACGATGGCACGTTTTCGACGTACTGCTCGGCTTTGTGGTGGAAAATAACCGACAAAGCCAACACTGCCGTTCTTTCATCCAATCTGCAAATAAAGCACAGCAAGTAATTAACGCGTTCGCATCGGCAGTAAAATGAACGCTTTATCCTAATAAATGTTAATCTATTTTGCACTATGCGGAGCGACGTAATTAGCGAAATAATCGAAATAAATGACGCGAAGAATGAAGAAAATTAAAACCAATTAATAGTTGCACGGAGTGGTGAAAATGCTCAGAATACTGCGTATTTTTTTCAAAATGGAATTTTGACTATGTTATACTTACTATCTGCTTAGTGGATAATAGATAAAACTATGTTTAGGCATAGTTGAATTAACAATTCTCAGGTCAAAGCCGATATATGGCGGATGCGCCGGGATCGTAATTTCATTGCTTAAAGTGGACGTGACGCTGAAGACGAAAGCTAACAAAATACTTATCAATTCTTATGCTATAAATATCACATGTTTAAAAATTATCATAACATAAATAATTAATTAAATTTATGGCTTATGTTTGTATAAGTTTTACAGTACTAACATAGTTTTAATTAAGGTGTTGTAAATGGCATGGCTTATTTTTAGAATTCCCATATAAATAAGCAAAAGAACAATTAATGGAAATATGTACACAGAGAGGCAAACTGCAGAGGAAAGAGGGAATTAAAATTCCTTGGTATTACTTTGAAATTCTACAGAATTTCCCTGGAATTGCCTCATTCTGGATTTATGAACAATATATATTACAAGAAAAACACACACATTACACAATTACACATCTCTTCCAGATAAATGTCTTTAACTTTAAAAAAAAATCGAGCTTATATTCCACAGGAAAACTTATTCAAATTTCATTTCTTTTCCAAACAACGAGAAATTGACTTTAGAGGCTTGACAAAAGATTTTATTTCTCTTTGAGTATAAATTCTAGTTCGTTGAAACAGCTAAGGGTGGATGTCTAGAAATTATGTTTCAAAGGTCCACGGAAATAAATAAAACAAAACCATCACTCAAAGGGAATAAACAACAAGTATTTTGTAATATTTTATTTATGTTCATGTCTTTTATATTGGTTTTAATATTATACAGGATGCTATTGCAATTAGATCATGTACTCTAACCGTGGCTGTGAATGTGAACTGCGAATAAGTGAATCCTTGACTGATTTCAAATGATATGCTGTGCTAAATATCATGTCAGGAACATTTTTCGTCAGTTTAAATCTGACGGAAGAACAAAATTAAACCAATGATAACTTGCGCTGTTCATCCCTGGACGCCGAGATTCATTCCTCAAATGGTGTATCATTATAATTGTGTCTTTATTACCCAAAAAGCTAGAAACTTTGAAACTAACAACTTCATTTTTTTTTTAAATAATGAAAAAAAAACACTTATTGACATTAATATAAACAATCAAAAAATATCCGTAGTCCTTTATCATCTATACCATTATAAAGAAAATCGTTCTAATTAAATTAATAAACGTTTATAACTTTTTTTTATTATGTATTTAAAGTAATGATAGAGTTCTTCAAAAAATCTTCTGATAATTTGTTAATCAATTTAGGAGCATTTATATAAAAAAGACTTTGAAATAACGCACTTTCATGTCGAGGTAAAGGTAGAACCTCCTTTTTTTTACATTAGTACTAACTAGCAAATAAGGCAGACTGATGAGTTAAAGTATCTGAAAGATTCAAGTTTCAGAAGTTTGTTTTACTTTAACGCAACTAATCTCGGCATATTGTAAGAAAATTTTAAGTAAGCATTCTGAACCTTTTGGAGTCTGTCCCTATCCGTCGCCGTTAAAGCCGGGCAATAAACTGCATCAACATATCGTAACCTGGAGATACTTAATGACTCACAGCGATTATTTAAGGTTGAAAACCAGGGAAACAGAATTTTGCTAGAGTTTCTTAAGCAATTAATTTTGTGAACTGCAGGTCAGCACTCAATCTCATTCGTTCTTAAGTTTGGATGATGAGGTTTTTATGCTTTAGGTCATGAGATGAATAGAGAATTTAGGCCGTTGTTAATCATTGTAGCTGCATCATTTACTTGGAAAGAATAAAGCAGTTAAGAAATAGATTCTTCAAAAGATAAGGAAAGTCAAAACCAAAAAAAAAGATGTTTTGACAAAGAATTTCTGTATCAACAGCATTGCTGTAAACAGAACAAAATAACTACCACTACTAAGAACTATCTTTGAATAAAAACTTAAAGTATCGCATATACTCAAATTCTCCAATTACTAAGGGAACGCCCTCTATACATACCCAGCGGCGAAGTCTTTCCAAGTCCGATCCAGCCTTGACGCGACCGATCGGATATGAGACGCGGCGTAATGCCCGCCTTCAATCAGTCGACTGGCCACGCTCAAAATCCTGTTAATGTTGACGTAAACGTTCATGGAGGACATGGTGAAGTGTTGGTGCTCCTCTTGCAGCTGCTTCGCCAGTTGGTACGTGTGGCCAATCTCGACGTAATTCAGCAGGAATACGTCGCGATTGTGACAGATCCAGTCGAACATCTACAACCTCAAGCATAAACACGATTTCTGGACGTTCGGACGTGACGCACCTTCTCGCAGTCCTGCTCGAACAGTCTCAACTGGAAACACTGATCGAGCTTCACCTTCTTGTGGTGCCACAGCTGCAGCAGGTGTTGTTGACTAGAATGGACCGCTTCGAGGTTTTGCAGGACCAAATTTTTTATGTCCTGCGCGTCCGGTCCAAGGCCGTCCGGCGACTCGCCCTCCCTACCGCCCCCGCCCCCGCCTCCCTGACCCGTGTCGTGGTGGTGACCGCAGGCGGTTTGGAGGAGTCGCTGACCCAGAACGTCGATGTCTTCGACGGGGGCTTTCATGATTTTCTTCTTCATCTCATTGTGGAGGTCGATTTTGTGTTTGGCACCGGTGACGTCGTCGGCGAAATCGTTCCGCGCTAGGTCTTCCTGGAGGTCGTCGAGACGATCTAGAAGGTCGGCCGCTTGCCACGAGAACTCTTCCACAGCTAACCTGAAAACCACAGAAGGGGGTAGTTACATGATCCTTAAAATTTCGTTAGATGCTCCAACAAGCAAACTTATCTTGGCCAAAATGATATTTGATTTAGTCGAGGTAAGTCATTTGTCATTTGAGCTTTCAACACTTGTTTTCAAGGAATCCAGGTAATTCATTAATTAGTAAAAAAGTTCAAGACCACAAAAGCTATAAAAAAATATACTTAGTCGGAGTTTGAACCAAGCTACCGTTATATCTAAAGGAGATACTAAAATTAATCTGTGCAAACTTAGCTTTTTTCATTTTCTGGGCATAAGATACAATTTTGCCACGATATTTTCGGATCAGACTTGGTTTACTTCACCTTTTGGTCACCAAATTGTTCCAGATAGATTTAAATTTTGGTTAAATGTTTTGATCTTTCGCCAGAGGAAACATTTTCGTCATTCTGCTTGATTTTATGGTCTTATCAGACTATAAAAATATAAATAAAAGATGAAGCTATTATCTGATTGATGATCTGATTGGTGATCGACTTGGTATGACCACACCGCTAATTTGATAGCTCCATATCATGACATGGATAATTATACTACTCGATATTACAGCATTAATTGCTAAATTAATGTTGATAAGTGAGTTATTGGTATAGTTTCAATTTTAGTAATCCTCTAGCCCGTTGTTGCGTGGTCCTCCAAAATGCTTTCTGATTAAACGTCATATTATTGTGATGTGTGGAATATTAGGCTCTCAATAGCAGGCCAATTAAAATGTTGAAAATTAAATAATTTCCGAGCGTCAGACACTTCCGTATCGCTCATCCGAATTAAATAATTAAAATTATATGCCTCGATTAATATTTATTTAGTTTAATTTATTTCTTCGGGCCTGATTAAACAACCGAGAGCAATGAGCCGCGACGTTGTGCATTAATTAAACCGAATTAGTTTAACGGAAATAAATATTTATATCTGAAGTAGTTGTCCTGGTTTCTTTGGTCTGCACCATAATTGCAAACGTACAAATTAAAGCCAAGTGATTATATCGAATTTTTCATTTTCATTAACACCAAAGACATTTTAAAATACCGGAAAATCGAAGCGAAGTATTTCATTGTAAGTTGGTTGGGATCAGGAATGCAATTACATGACGACAATTGTAGGATCCATTCTTATACAATATTTTTGAGCAATGTGTTTTCTATGAGAACAATTATTAATTTGCAAGACGCTTGTGATGTTATTAAGACATCCTTCGCTACGAATGAGAACCGAGTGGTTGATCTCACGGCACATAGACAGTCTCTTAGGTGCCGATTTAATAACTTTGACATATTACCTGGGGTCTAAATAGGTTTTATATGTATGTTTGTTTAATGCATAATTGTTCCCACATGTGTGCAAGATTTCTATAAATTATTCAACAGTCCTTATAATCGTCGGAATCAACCAGCGGTAAGGAAAAATTACTAGTAAAAATTATACATAAATGAGACGTATTTAATGAAACAGTTTAGCAAATTTAGTAACAACGTTGAGAAAGTTTTATTTCTTTAGTTACGTTTTTTTTTTAAATTTCATTTGCAATTGAAAACAGCATTTCTCGAACAGAACGAGAGTTAGAAGAAGATCAATAGAATGGCCTGGATGTTTTCTTATGAGAATATTTGAATTCAAAAGGTGTATAAGAAAAAAACACAAAATTCAGATGATTTAAAAATTAGAACTAGATACGAAATTGGGCAAATTAATGATATAATTTTAGGGTATGCTACATGAATTATGGAAATGGTGTTCCGCTTAAAAAAGGAACTTGATTTCGACATCTACTTTATGACACACCATGTTCTATTATACTGCAAAAAAAATTATGAACGACGAGTGCCAGGATTTTTCCTGCAATTCAATACCTGATTTTTAAATAAATCTGTTTCATATTTTAGCCGTTCACTGTATAGGTTACTAGCACTGTTGTGTACTTACTGTTATGACTTGATCATTTTGTTAATTGTAGAATAACGTAAATAAAATTATTATTATTAGATACACATGATCTTGAAACCTTTCCATGTTTCAAAAGTTACTGTTTGATTTAAAGATGTAGGTATCTTTTGATCCTTTTAGTTTTACAACTATTCTCAAGCATGATCCGCCTAACTAGTTAAGGTTCTCTAAGCAACAATAATAATGACTTTTTTATTAAACTCCGCGTACAATTGCTAGTTTGTTTCAATATTATTAACATATTTATCATGCACGGTTAAAAAATACGATGTTAGACTTCAAATCCACCGTTACTCACAAAAACTTACATCGTCTTTCTCGCATTACAACCTGTAGGTAGACGCGCGGTTTTCTATGAAAAAATAACTGTACACACTCGCAGAGCACAATAAACAAATCTCATTATAACCGCGATTCGCTGGCGGTGTTTCCACATCGCCGGGACTCCTCCGTATGGTAAACAAACGAAGAATGTTGTCAATGAATCGCGTTGCCTACATAGGTGGGTATTCAAGGCCTACTCCCAGAAAGAGGAAATGATGTAGTTCAGTTCTTTCATTCGTAGTTTCATTTCAATACAACGACTCGGTGATAAGTAACGTAAAGCCACAGACGTAATAAAAATGGGATCAAACGTCAGTGAACTATTACCATTATGTTTATTATTGGTTCCATTACCTTGCGCAACAAATGAAATACACTATTAAATGTTTAATTCAAAGCGCAATGAATGAACGAAAGGAAAATGTATTTTTTACTCACCTCGTCTCCAGCCAGTTGGAATGGTCGTAGGAGAGGGTACCTTCGAGGTCGGACGTCAACTGACTGGTGTCTATGATTTTGGGTAATGCTTCTATACTTATCATATTTGTCTGAAATCAGAAAAAAGACGAATTTGTTGACATTTCTTATGGAAATGACATGATCAATTTTATCCGGGAATCAAACACAAGCCGGGCAAAGAAAAAACGATCTATTTTATTGTTGCTATTGAAAAAAATCTCAAAAGCACCACGAAAAATTTGTTTGAGCCTGTAGTTAAAATGACAATACATTTTATTGTTATAAAACAATAAATAAAAAAATCCAAACCACATCCTCATCAATCAAAACCCAAAAAAATATCAAGTATTATATTCTAGTTTAATCTGAGGGGCCCAACTGCATTACAGTTATTTTTGAATAATATTAACTCCCTACATAACCGTATAAAACTTACCATAGAGACGGAACTAGATAACTCTGAACTTTCTGAACTCAACTATAACCAAATTACAGAACAAATTAGATTTTGTCACCAAGGGAATTCTTTAAAAAACAATCAAACTAAATTTATATCGGACAAACAGGTAGAAAATTTAAGAAACGCATTAACGACCATAAAAGGGCGTATAAAAATAAAAGTTCGAATTCAAATGCAAAAGTTTGAGGATAATTTGATTTTTTTTTCAAAGAAACTTCCACAGGCTACTGTGATACTTTTTACAAAACTTCTGGATTCCTCCTGCGTCGGTTTTTGCTGAGCCGAACTTGCTGACGTTTGCCAATCATATTGTTGGCTTCTTCAGAGCTTGACAGAAACTGGCTCGGATTTTACTCTGTACCTGCTTAAATATTGAGGGATATAAACACAGTCTCGGATGACTGATTCCCATATTGGTCATGGTTAAGATTGTTAGCTTGTTTATATATTTTTATAGACTGTCGGATTTTTCATTGGTAGAAGAATTGATTACATACAAGAATTTTAGTTTTGTCGAATAAAATTTTATATCCGGTTTCGTGATTGTGTTCGGCAACAGCTGATGAGTTTATTTGTCTTAGTAGTAAGGCTCATTCGTGTTCTTTGAGCCTAGTTGCTATTTTTCGTCCGATCTCTCCAATGTATTGTTTGCGGCATATGCATGGAACGCTGTAAACTCCTGGCATCTCAAATGGAATTTTGTCTTTGACGGATCGAAGATGTTGAGATATTTTTGGACAAGTGGTAAATCTGGTTTTGACGTTATACTTCTTTAGAACTTTTGATATGTTGTCAGTGATGTTTTGAATGTAGGGAAGGACCACAGGGGCTCTGAAGCTCTGAAGAAGCCAACGTCAGCAAATGTTGTTATTTTATATTTTTAATTTTTTTTTTAAATTACTTTTTAAATTAAAAAATTAAAACAACTAAATTTGTTAGAAGCTATGAAGATTAACAAAATGATTATTAAAATCTATTACTACCTGTATTTAAATAAGAGTAGCGAGCATACTAATTATCTAAAACTAAAGGCAGCCGTTTTCTTCTTCTTTTCTTAACATGTTTTGTGTTTGTGGCCATAAAGTGGACAGACTTTGTTCAGATATCTGGCACTGGTGTGGAAAGATAAAGGTTTATATGAGAATGAGAATTGAATATTAATTAACTTCGTAAAGTTTTGACGCTTAGGATTTAAAACTTTTTGGAGCTCCCTATTTATTTGGCACTTTTGTAGATATAGAAAAACAAAACCTCTTCATGCTGTCGCTTCGTGTATTGCAATTTCCAATATTTACGGACATCATCATCACACTGCAGCAGATTAGTAAAAAAGTGCTTCGCAATTTTTCGTAATATACAACACATATGGTTTTTAAGAAGCCATTTCGAGCTCCTGAGGTTTCATATAAGGGAGTTTCTAATTATTATGCATTATTATGCACGATCCTTGAATCCAAACATCCAGAAGAGTATTCTTCGTTCAAAGTGGGAGTCTATGAATCAAACGCAAAAGAGCTCCTTGATCCAGCAAGATGGGACGTGGGTACTAGAATCAACAAATTTTTTCATTTAAGGAGAACCAACCGAATCGAGAGATAAACCCCAAGGACAGTGGTCAGTTGACAAATGGTGTACATTTTTTTCACCTAAACATACAAGGATTTGCAAATAAGATTGATGACTTGTCATTGTACGCGAAGAGTAATTGTTTCGACTTAATCTGTTTAAGTGAACATTGGGTAGTGAACGACAACATTCTTTCGAATATTAATCTTATAGATTACAATTTGATTTCGTTCTTTTCTAGGTCTACTCGCATTCACGGTGGAGTGTGTTTGTATACTCGTAGTGGTCTGGACTGCGTGAAAATTGACGTATCGAGTTACTGCACGGAGATTGACGCAGAGTTCTGTGCTCTTCGGGTTGCTTCGGCGAAATTATTGGTTGTTTGTTGCTACAGATCTTGCAATGGCAATATTGCGATATTCTTTGAGCAGCTAGAGTTATTGTTGAACAATTTTCTCTCGTTTAACACCAGAGTGGTTATTGTGGGTGACTTCAATATAAATGTGAATGTTTCATCTAACGCTGTCTCCGAATTTTTAAGTATTATAAATAGTTTTGGATTGAGGTTAACTATTTCCGATAACACTAGAATTGCGCGCTCTTCTGCTACTTTGCATTGATAATATAATAACAAACTTGAATGAAGACGTTTATGAGGTGGGAGTTCTTGACCCTGCCATGTCAGATCACAGAGGCCAGTTTATTAAATTTAGCATAGGTAGGGCGGATAGAGTCAGAACTAAAAAAATTAGGATTATTGCCAAATCAGGTATTGTGAATATTAGGAAGTCCTTGGAGGCTGTGGATTGGAATATTTGCCTTGGTTCTAACGATGTCAACTTTATGTCTTCATTTATATTGCACAAAGTTCAAGACTTGATCAAACAAAATTGTTCTGTTAACAACATTCCTCATAAAAAATCACCGGTCAACTGGTTTGATAAAGATCTAGTAGCTCTTAGAAACAGAGTGTCAGCTGTTAAAACTCTCAGTAAAGTCTCACAGAACCCTCTTTATACAGAAGTGTATAAATCGCTAAATAAGGAATATAAACAAAAAATTCAACAAAACAAAAAAGCTGCTTTTGATGGCTTTATCGAAAAATCAACCAATAAAAACAAAGATGTCTGGAAAATCGTTAACTATGAAAGAAATTGTCTTAGGAGATGTGATAAAGAATCTGATGTATCAGCAAACGATCTTAACAGTTTTTTAGTTCTGTCCCGAGTAATATTATAAAGATCTTAACGGTGAATCACAATGTACAGAGTGCATGTGTTGAAGGGATTCCACTGGAGGAAACTACTTTTTTTTGCATCCGATAACTTGTGAGGATACGTACCGACCCATACTAAGATTAAAAAAATCTTATTCTAGCGATGCTTATGATATCAATAGTGTCTTGGTAAAGGGACTGGTTGAGTACATTACACTGCCATTCACCACTTTATTTAATAAATGTATTGACACAGGTGTATTTCCGTCGCTGTTTAAGATTTCGAGAGTAGTTCCAATCCATAAGGCAGGTGATATAAATGATGCTAACAATTACAGGCCGATTTCAATCGTGCCTTTGTTCGGAAAAGTTTTTGAGATCTTACTAAAAGATCAGCTAACTTCTTATATTAATAAGATCGAATGTCTTTGTGCTGGTCAGTTTGGATTTAGGGGAGGGTGTTCGACGATCCAAGCAGTGTCTAAAGTTGTGAGTGGGATAGTTGAGGGCCTCGAGGGGGGTGAATTAGTTGGTTTGACCTTGAGTGATCTCTAAAGGGCCTTTGACTGTGTTTATCACCAGCTTCTTATTAAAAAGCTATACAGATATGGTATACGAGGTCTGCCCTTAAATCTTATAGCGTCCTACTTGCAGGGCCGACAGCAGTTTGTAGAATACCAGGATGACCGTTCATCACTTGAATCAGTAGTAAGCGGGGTGCCCCAGGGTTCCGCTACTATTTACAATCTACATAAATAAACCTTTATCATTTCTTGGCCCCCAATCAGTGCGTGATGTTCGCCGACGATACATCCTTCACTACATCTGCTAAGAGTATCGAGGAGTTGTCCGTTAGGGTTGGCATGTTGGAGGACAGGGCCAATGCCTGGTTCGAAAATAATTATCTTAAATTAAATTTAGACAAGACCCAGAGTATTGTGTTTTCCTCCAATTGCTTGGTAAATAGTGGACGGTCCGTCAAGTTGCTTGGCATTAGGATCGATGATAGTCTAAATTGGAAACAACATATCTCAGATCTGAAAAATAGATTGTCCAGCAACATATTCGTTTTTCGACGACTGAGAGGCCTGATAGGAACAAGGACTCTGCTTATGGTCTATTTTTCTTTGTTGCATTCACACCTATGCTATGGCACGGTACTGTGGGGTGATTCCTCAGCTGCTGTGGAGATTTTTAGAATGCAGAATAGGGCCATTCGAGTCGTTGCTAATATAGGATATAGGGACCATTGTCAACCTTATTTTAAAAAATTCAAAGTGATGCCCCTTCCATGCGTCTATATCTACTACCAGTTATTAGAGATACAGAGAACGAAAGGAAACTTTAGCGCTAATTCCGATCGCCATGCCTATTCAACGCGTTCGGGGGATCTTCTTAGACGGCCTAGGTTTAGACTGAGGAAGTCTGAGAACAACTCATTGAACCTGAAATTGTATAATGTTTTGCCAGGTACCGTGAAAAAGATGAGCAATAGAAAGTTTAAACATACTATTAAAGAATTTCTACAACGTCACTGTTTTTACTCCCTGCGAGCATACATTGACACTGTCACTGGTATCGATGCGCTATAAAACTGTATAGTACTGTCTAATTTTGTTTGTATTAGATGTGTGTTTTTACGTTATTTATTAATTTTTTTTTGCACTTCTGACTTGCTACAATTGTACGTCCCTTTTGTACGAAACGTAGTCAATAAATGAATCTATCTATCTATCTATTCGCTTCGCATAATTTCCACAGGTTTTATTATAATACTTGTAATTTTATTTTTATGATTTTGTTATGTTTTCTTATAAAGATGTTAAAAAATAAATTACAATTGAAAATTTGCAGTTAATCGTTTTCTACAAGCATTTATTTACGAGACTAGATCTTAACAGTATGAAGTGCTCGTCAGAGTAAACCCACCCTTCCCTTTGGTTTTATAGTTAATACTCTTTTACTTCTTTAATTGCAATATTTTTCAGTACGATCTTTGCTTTGATATACCCTAACACACATTTTCTTCTAAAAATATTCGGCAAAGCCTGTCTTTCGGCGTCCAATTTAATAGTTGTGAAATTTCGACAAAATTGGACAAGACGAATTAGACGCCCAAAATTTCAACCTTCTACGAGTTTTATTTGTAACCTTTTGGAACAAAAAATAAAGAAAATAACTGATTTCTAGAAAAGTTTTAAAGATATATGGAAAATAACCGGAAAACGAAGGCAGTATCGAGAATGAAATAACTTTCGATGAAAATAATTTAGATTGGTGGATCATCATCGCTTATCCAAGCGACCAAAATTTCAGAGTCCTTTCTACTTTGAAAATATTAAGCTCGTCTTCAAATCTAGTCGCAACAAAAAACTATCACGTCTTATAATTGCACTACGCTATTTTATATTTAAAGGGGATAACGGTCCGCCGTGGAAGTGTTTCCTCTTCCGTTTCCACCGTTTTGACTGAGCAATTTACGAATTTCGACGAGCACCTCGCGTAATTACAGTAATGAAAGAGTTTTCGTGACGGCAGTAAACTCGGAGGTCCACTTCAACGGGATACGATTACTATACATTGTAACCTCGCGTCGACAAAATGGTAGCGTACGGAATGAGAGTGCCAAATTATCGGAAATTCAATCTGCCACGTAAGTGGCTCTCGTATGCACGAATATCGGACCAGGAACAGTTTGAAATTCAAAAATGCATTTGTCAAGTCCCCACATACATTTACCTTGCACTTGGCTGCGGACACAAAAAATTTTTTTCCATAAATTGATGTGGGATGTGTTTGCTAAAAACCCACTTCGCATTCAGTTTTTCAACCAGCAGCAGATAAAGAAGTTATTAAAAAATGCGACTTTCAAAAAAATGTAACTAATACCCATCTCTTTTTATTAAAGCCTTAATTTTGCTAGTGCATTTGTTTCTAAATGGAGTTTGACTTATGTTTTGAACACACCTAGAACGGGCGTTATCTTAAACCTCGAATATCTCAAAAAATAAAAAAATAAAAATATGATATAAATTACAAACTGAATTGATTGATATCTAAATAAAAAAAATAGGGTGTTCCCCTTGAAAATCTTGAGACTTTGTTAATTAAATCCTCCAAAACTTCACCACCTATTTGGGACACCCTGTATAAGCTGAGGCGCATTTGTCAAACTGATTGAGTAGTGCATCATCTCCTTAGTCTTTGGTTAAATTTTAATTGCAATACCTTAATCAGTACCTTAATTATAATATGGGTTTCCAGATCGTATAGTGGGTCGTTTTATTTGGCATTGATATTATTATTGTTTCCCAAAGAGCCCGTTTTTCTGTCAAAACCAACTGTCACAAAATTATCAATTTTTTCAAACAGTTCGATTCTCTTACCTCAAATTTGTACTTGTGTGATCCCAGAGAGGTCCGCTGTTTCTGCCAAAAATTATCGGGTTTGACGATGAGCGCTTGGTGCACGGCTCCCTGAGGGAAATGCTCGTGTAAGGCCTTGAGGATGGGTTTCACAGTCGACCAGGTCGCTCCGCGCATGTCCACCAGAACCGTGAAGCCCAGAGTACGAGCTTCGTCGCTGCAAGAAAAAACTTACGATTATCTACTGATATACAGAGCCATGGAATATCCGATGAGTAATCGCCAAATATGACAATTAAATTAAAAAAATAAAATAAATTGATTGAAATGGCAACTTCGCATGGTGTTTGTTGTGCATTGAATGCATCAGTCTCGGGGACGAGCACATTTATTCCAAGTGCACCAATTGTTATTTTTGGTAGAGAGAAAAATAATCATCCAGCGCTTCCGATTGCTGTTGGTTTTAGTTGTTTCATCTTACCATCTTTTTCGTCAAAACCTTTTGCGAACAAGGAGAGGGACCTTTGCTGTGGAATAAAATGGTACTAAAATGTATAGGTTAATGACTATATTTTCACCCAACAGGGTCTGCGAGCTTAAGAGTGCGTTAAGAGATGTTTTTTGAGACTCTTTGCGGATTAGTCCTTTTCGAAATCATTTATTCTCGTGATGTTTTTGTACAAACTTTAAATGGTCTTTAGTTTCATCTCAGTTACGCTGTAACTATCACCCTCTTACTGTCCAAAGCGTCATTTGCAACAAGGCAATCACTAAGATGAATTTCGAGCATAATTTCACCATGACGTTATAAGATATAATTAAGCTGACGATTCCCAGCTGCTTCAATATTTTGAATCAATGGAAGTATTTGATGCAGCTACGAAGATTAACGAGACCTTACATCCTATATTCGATCTGTCTGCATAAGTCGGTGGCCATATCATTTAGTTAAGAAAAATAGGTAGACTACAAAAAAAGGCTTAAAACATCAGCAAAAAATTTATTGCTATGAATAAGATACTAACTTATGATTCACCAAATATGTGAATTGGCTTTGTCAATATTTGCTTGGTTTAAAAACCACGAAAATCATGAAATAATGGATTCCAACCTTAAATTAATTCTTTGTGAGTCCAGCTCAGAACGATTGCTTCAGATTTTCTTACGTATGTCAGAAAATATGACAGGACCATTTTATGCGCAAACAGAAACTTCTGAAGATGAAATCCTTAAGATACATTCACCTCACCTTACTCACAAATCCTTAACACGTCTCATTTGTCTACAAAGCTTGTTTCTTGTAGCAAGCTAATACGAAATTATTCCAAAGACGTTTTTCATATAAAACTCTCAATCGGAACAGATTACCAGTAGATTTTTTTAAACAACTTATCCTTATTTGATTGCAAAAAAAGGTTAAAAACATTAATTTTAGAAAACAAGAACGATTTTTTCACTGAGATGACCATCAGAATTGACAAACGTCAAAATTCAAGGCCTGCGGTAAAATCTCCGAAAACATCCGATTGCGCCCAAACCCGTGCGGTAAAGTTCCGGAAATGTCCGAAGTGGCTCGGATCCATAGGACGAGAAAGTCACGTGGTAAAGTGACGCTTCCCGCACGCTAGATAGGTATATAATTAGGTATTTTACAAAAGGGAGTGAAAAAAGATATTTTAGAGACGGGAGTAGAAAACAAAGTTTAACAGCGCTCTTTTCATCATTAAATTGCTCTTAATTGATTAAAACTTTCTTGCTTCTTGCATAATAATAAAGATACAATAATGCTTTAGAATGGACGAAAAAGAATTTCTGACCAATGAACATATGATATGGGGTCCTTTTGCACCCCTGGCGGTTGAGTATATTGGCCATGAGTGAACATAGCTCCAAATCGATTCTCAGCAGTTAATCAGGCGCTGCTTCCTCCTCCTACCCTACACTTTAATGTTTTGGATGTTGCGTTTCCCTCGATCCACGTGCAATCCCTAAGGTTCGAGTGCAAAATTGAAAACGAAACCGCCAATCTAAGTCAGCGCGCGTTCTCTGGTCGATATCCGACCAGCAGCAGGTTGTTAATTGAAAGTTAAATGGAACACGTCCTGCTAATTATAATTTCGTATCAGCAGGGGAAGGAACATCCGAGCTCGTCTGAATATACGGATTAATTACTCGCCCGTGCGTCGTCGACGCGCCGGACGTTTCGAATTTTTTCGTCTCTGACGAGACCGGAGCGGACAGATTTCGATTAAATCGACTGAATTCAATTTCAGTTTTCGCAATATCCGGTGCTGTTCAGGTTTGACGCGAAACAACTAGGTCGAAGTTGCTCACTAAATATTTATTTATTTATTATTAATTTTACGGACAGAGTCCATTTCTACATAAAACTCAGAAAAAATGCACAGTTAAATTACAGGTTGATACAAAAGTAAAAGCCTAAGCTAGAATCTCAAAAGCTAAGGAGAGAAAAATAAATAACTAACGTAAGCTATTTTATGTTATGTTATGCTTGGTTGAATCTGATTCCTAGACCTACCATTAGAATTGAAAAAGTCCAAATGCTAGTTCTCATTGGCCAGCCCTTGCAATGAGTTGGTCCTGTGGTAAGGTACAAAAGATGTGCTATTAAGGCGAGTTATTCGTAATGGTGCCTAAAACCCAATTTTTGACAGAATGGAGGAACAAAAACAACTGGAATTGATAACTTTCAAAAGCAACATCGGGTCGCCTTGGTCGCAACGAGCTTTAAGCGTTTTGTTAGCCAAGTCGACACAAAAGCTATATAGCGAAGAAAACGGTGCTGAACTTGATAATCAGGATTCCATAGAGATGAAGCATATTCCAAGTGGGGTCGAACCACAGCATAGGAATTTTATGGAATTCACGTTTTGAAAATCAAACGATGACCCCAACATTTTATAAGCCTTTGAAATTATGTTGGACATATGATTGTTAAAGTTAAAGCCGCTTTCGAAGAGCAGTTTTTAACATTTGATACCGCTTTTAGACATTTTGAGAGATTGGGATCAATAAATCTTCCTGTAAAAGAACCTGATCTTCACGAGTTCCAATAATCGAGACGACAAAAAGAAATAATTAGCGTTATGGAAACAGGCAGCTATATCATTAATAAATATGAGAAAGCATAGCGGCCTCAAGGAAGAGCTCTGAGGCAGTCTCGAAGTAACTGGAAAAGGCTTCGATAAGTAATTTCCAAGTTTAAAAACCTGACGGCGACCTCCCAGATATGACTTGATCCACTTCAGAAGTCCACCTGCTATACCTTCAACACACAATTTATCAAGCAGCACTATCACTTATCAAACGCTTTGCAAAAATCTTTGTAAACAGCGTTAACCTGATATCCCGCTTCCAAAGCACCGTAATTTCAGTCCGCGTACGTAATTAAATTCAAAATTGTTGATCTTCACGATTGAAAGCTATATTGATGATCTAAAATGATATTAAAATGTTATTAATTCCTTACAAACAATGCAGTTTAGGTTTCGAGGCAGCGATCCTATTAAATTGAAAATGGTTTTATTTTTGGGAATTGGCGTATTATGTGGGAATTTCGCAAATGGAATATCGCCTGAAAATACTGTCTAGAAATTACGGCGGCTCGTTAATCACTCTCATATAGCAGCAGCTTGAGGGACACTGGAGGGTAGTTGATTGATATTCGAACGCTAGAAAACAATTTCTCTACATTTCGCTGCAACAGGGTGAAAAGGATGCATCTAGCAATCCTCAGATGAAATAATAAATAAGCAGAAAAGGAAATATAAATATAATCTTGTGACAATTCTCGTCTAGAGAGAATCTGAAACATTTAAACAAAACATTTCCCGAACATTGATGGAAAATTGTAATTTACAGGGTATCCCATCAAAAACGTAAAGGCAAAATCCAATATGATTGTTTGTCAGGGAGAAAAAATCCGACGCAAAAGTCTTCAAGTCTCCAAATATTTTTCAAGTCGAAATGAGACATCCCATTTAAACGGCTGTGTAATATATACTATACAATACGTTTGAGGAAAAGTTTGAAAAGCAATTTAATTTTTTTGAAAAACTTGCCGGTTTTGGATTATATTAAAAAGCTGCCAGGCTGTAATCGCTTGCGGTGGGTTTTCGATAAATCACTCTGTACATAACCTTTTTTTTTGGGCAAAAATGAAAAATACTGAAATATGAAGATTTTTAAGAAAATTTTCAAATACCTTAATAGACTAACCATAGATGCGCTCAGTTGTAGTAGGATTCTATAACAAAAAAGAATTTTCCCAAAATTTAAAGAATTTGTTGGAATTTATTCGAAATTTTTGGAACTTTCATAATTTTTAAAAAAGCTTTTAAAAATTTGAGAATATCCAATGATAAATGACAATGAAAGCAAAAAATGATTAGACATTTGCATTTTTTTTCTACAATTTAATAAATCAAAATTTGGACAAATATATTTGTTGATAAATTTGAACATATGTGCGTAAACCTTCTGCCGCAAACTGATAACGAGTGGAGTTAACCAGGTACAAAGATTTCAAAAACATGGATATAATTTCTTTGGATAATCCTCTAAAATCAATACCTTGGCGTTAAATGTTTGACTTTAATACTATTGATGAGAAAGTGTCTTTTTAATCAGAATATGAACGTTCTATTGCATGTTTATGCTCCGTTGGAAGTTGAAACACTTACCCTGGATCATAAAAAATACTAATTTAGGTATAAAAACAAATAAAAAACCAGGCCCGTTATAAAGAGCTTAGAAACTTCGCCAACAAACCATAGAGTAAAAAGCCTATATAGAACATTCCACAATCAATAAAAACAGTAAAGCATTTTGAAAATATTAAAAAAAATTAAACGTCATAAAAAATGCAAAATACACGGGAGAGGATTCCTGACTAACTGTCAGAACAGGATTTAATAAACATTAACATTAACTATATACCGATGTCAAACTCTCAGTACCTACAAGACAAATTTCAGTTTTTAATAGTGTCAGAATGTCAAATTGCACAATCTCTCAATAAAATTGAAACTAAATATCATCTTGTAAATTTTTTCATCACCCATTCAGTTATTCCCTCTGTTTGGAAAGCAGCTAATATTCTTCATTTTATTTCGATTCTGCCAATATTCTCTAAAATATAAAACGAGATACAAAATCTCAAATAGTGAAAAACTGATTGACAAAACACAGGTCGGT